CACGTTGTTATTGCGTAATTGTCCAAAGGCAAACTGAGAGACAAAGCACTTCACATTGTTTTGTTGAAATAACTCTCTGTGTATGTCGAAAGTAAGAAAGCTGTTTTTTTCAAACGACGGAAACATAGCATAAAGACGCACAAAGTGTAAAATCACGCATTAGTCACATGCTTGAGTGTCGCATTCAGACGAGACTTCATCCTTTCATAAGATCGCGATAGCATGAATCAATGCGTTATGTAGTCTGATTTGAGCTTTCTGAATACCTCATAAAATAAAATAAAACGCGTCAATGCATTTATTCAAATATCCAAAATAAACATATTGAATAATCACTGATCAATGATATGGTAATGTGGCCATGAATATATACGTAGATTTTTTTTACGTATGTTAATCGCGGAAGTTAATCACATGACTCTGACGTCAATAAGTACAATTATATCATTATTTGGCGTTATGAAAAAAAAAAGGAAAAATAAGTCAGATTTAACACAAAAATGTCCGTTTCAACAATGACAAACGTGTATAACAACAGGTTTCGTAATCACGTGGTTTTTCCATCATCATAATTCATTAAAATATCGTCTGTATATATTTGTCACGTACTACAGTAAAAACAATTGTTGACATTGGTGCTTCATAGATGCGCAAACCATGTTTGATTATATATCTATATATTTAGACGAACATACACGCATAATATCTGATCTAAGTTAACGCAATATCAATTTGGTAGTCTGAATGCTAGACCTACATTTTATTTTAATACTGTTTTCGACATTGACGTAATGCGAGTAGCTAACGTCCGGCACACAAATGAATTAAAAGACCAAATCTATGCAATTGATTTTGTTTTCATTTTTTATTCATATATAATGCATTGAAATTAAAATCACACATGCATCTAGTAGCAAACAATGTCTACTCAATAATAACGCCGTACCCATACAAACAATAGCATCTCGCATATCTAATGGTCCAAGGAAATAACATCGTCAAAATATAGTGCCAGGGATTGAATTAAACGCCTTTTCAATTTAATTTATTTCTTAACGAGGTCGCCTTAATTCTGACCCGGATGTTTGTCTAAATTGGCCAATTTACTGAATAGTACGCTTGATTATTGCAAAGTTGAAAATCACATTGAAATAATGCACAGTGGCGAAATTGTTTCCTTGTTGTTGCTAGTTTGTTTGTCTGAGTGTCCAGTTTCCATGGCAACACGTATAATAGTATTACAACTGTGTTGTATATTATATGCCGTTGTCATTTTAGGCGATTTTTAGAGATTGTTTTTTTAAATCGTAATTTTAAAACTTTGCAGTTAATGGGAAATTACAATATAACGATATGCAGTCAATTTGACTGTGTATTGACGCAATATCGAATATATGAATAGTTATGGGTATTCCACGCGAGTGAATTACGTTCATGAATATTGAAATGTACGTCATATGGCATATGCGTGATTATAATACCATGCGATACAACGACGTGCGTGCTCTCCTTGGTCTATCGGTAGCACTAGCTGTTTAGTTGTTAGACGATAACTGAGCAGTTATAAGGAACAATGCACGAACGCACGCTCAAATAGCGCGTACATCAGCCATATTCAATGTTTGTAGACATTTGCAATGATCGTTCAAACAACAATTATGATTCGTTCACGTTCGGAAATTCTGGTCCCTTTTATCTGTTAAATTATTAATGAGCGTGTTTTCGCGTACTGTTTGTTTGCGGGTGTCGTCGACCCCCGACGACCGAACCACACGGCCTATCTCTTTCTTTTTTCAAAGAACCGGTTCAAATATTTTTAATTTTTTCGACATTTCGAGTATTATAATTGAAATAAGCAATTCGTCACTGTCCATTGAAAATATGGATCAGACGGAGATGGTTCTTGGTCTGGTATTTAAATCTTAATGAATTCCCTGCAACGGCGATATTTTGGATATAGAGAGAAGTTTCTTTTATCGCGTCTAGTGTGTTTTCCGAATCCAATATGACGCTTCGGGGGTTCATCATTACTGTTGTTATAAATCACCACCACCACCACCAGAATTATATACATTTGGAGGATTATTGTTGAAATCAATTTACTTGCATAACGTTTGATAATGTATAGCTATGACGTCATATAAATGTATAAAAAGCAATAACGGGCAGCGCAGCGCGTCGTCCTATTTTTCTGATGATCTTGGACGCAAATGGTTGCCGTTGAGAGCACGAGAGCCGCCAAACAACGTTTTGCATTCAAATAGTGTTCTATTCGCTTACGTCATCGCGTCAACTGATCTATGTAACTATGATTTTTGGAAAAGCCGGTACGATGACGGGAGAGAACGGAACACTATTTGAGGAGCGGAGATCAGTTTTAATCTAATGGATTTCTCGTTTTCAACGAGATCTCGTGACTTTCTCGTTTTCAACGAGATCTCATGGCTTCCTCGCTTTCAACAAGATCTCATGGCTTCCTCGCTTTCAACGAGATATCATAGCTTCATCGCCTTCAACGACATCTCATGGCTTCCACGCTTTCAACGAGAGTCTCAGCGGCCATTGTGTACGTTCTGTTAATTTGTTCTGAAATATACGTCATACTGCACACGAGTGAAATTGTGCGATTCAAAACTTATAATTCCGTCGGCAATTTGACCATCAATTACCAAATTCGCTGTTACGTCACTATCCCGTAAGCAATGCAAGAAGAAAAATAATTGTGGATAACAACACAGTGATTCCCCCCAACTTAAAATATGTTCCCTGTATTCAATCGTGCCTTTAGCACTGACGCATCAGTAAAAGGCTCTCCCACATAGCCTCATAGGTTTATAGTTACTGAGATTACTGTAACAGATTTTAATTGGGAGACGTTGGAAATGACATTGTTGCACTTTTCAATAACATCCAATAAAACGCAATAATTTGAACAAATCATGCTTTAATGGAATTGAATGTTAATAACCGGTAGTTTTATTCAATAGAGCAAGGTAATTCGGTTAGCACTGAGTGAAGCCATGCTTTCAATTTTCCATTATGGTAGCCCAGTGCGGATGCAAATCCACCATACCCAAGTCATTTATTTTCACACTTAAATGGGGCAGCTGAAATCGAATATTACGTTATTCATTTCATATGAAGCACGGTATAACAGTATTTTCTAAATCTGATCAAGACTATATATGGGTTTACAAAAATATATTTAAAATCCTTGTTTTAGGAAAAGATGTTATTGGTGTCAATGTCAACGTAACTTGAAGGGATGCCACAGGTTATTTTTCTGTCGGTCATAATATGGGAGCGTCAGCAGCGCGCATTCGAAACTAACAATCTGTTTTACATTCCCTACCAACAGTCCCAGGCAATAGTGGCCAAAGGATGGCGTGTTACCCTTGTTATGCGCTGTATTCGAACAATATCGATGACGACGCGGCGCAATGGCTGGGGTGCTTCAAGCAGCTTTCCGTCGACAGTGTCAATACATTATTGACTTCACTAATAACAAGTCAATGAACAAGCAATCTTTCGTGGTTAAAAAAACGATCTACGTTTAAATAGCAACGGACTGCAGTAATTTAAAAAAGCGATATATCTACTCTCTTCTAGAAAGTTAATTTTTAATTGGAAATAATTTTTGTTGAATAGACGTTTTGGGTGTTTTGTACGTAATTTATTTTCCCTGATTTTTGACGAGTTGTATGTAAGGTATAGGAAAAAGTGTATTTTCGCTGACTTTTATTTTCACTGAATCATTCCTTCAGCGAAAATTAATTCCAAGCGAATATAAAGTATTCCACAGTAATAAATATAAATTACAAATTTGTAAGGTTTGATTAAAGTTCACATACAGTATGCGAGATGCGCAATAAACCAAGCAAATGTGAGGGACAAGACAGTAAAGATTAGTATATACTTATATTGTCTATTATTGACTTTACCCTATGATTTATACACTTACTATGCAATGGAATAAATGTATTACAACGTAACATGGTGCTGGGTTTCTACTACGTCGTTGACAGTTTCACATTTTACTAGAGCCTGTCCAAAACTTATTAATTTATAAAAAGAACATCTAGTCAATAAGAAGAAAGATACAAGTTTGAAATAGTGAATGCAGGATGCAGGGAAACATTAAAGACATATTTTATTATAGATTGAATAGTTATTGCGTACTGCATATCTGTTTAGCAATTCTAGATCTATTAAAAATACATGTCCTTAGTAACCCGGACATAAATAGTTTGCATATTCAATCACGTGATCAGCGTTTAGCGACGCAGAAATTTGTCTGGATAATTGACATAAGATATGTACAAAATTATTATTATTATTATTATTATAGATATATAAATATGATTGGACGGTAACACATGAAGGGTGTATTGCTGATTGATTTTATAAATACATTTTTTGCAAATAAGTTCAATCCCCACATCGCCTTTTACTGCATTTCGTGAGGCTTCTCATATATTTGAATTTAGCTTTATCAAACTGTGGCGGGGGGTCCCCCTTGAAAAAATGCACGACCCATTGCAGCGCAAAGATGGTGAGCAGAACTCGCCACCCCCCTCCCCCCTTTCATGCAAAATTAGGCGCCGCCGCCTCAGTTCTAGAAATAAATTATTGCTATGATTCAGTTTAAAACACTGCTTGTGTAAATGCTCAATATTATCGGAATTTTACTTTACTGTTCTTGGGGACATAAAGCTGTTCAATTGTCAGTGATATGAGAGCTCATACTAAGCACACAAATTGTATGTATAAACAAACCTTGGACAAATGTTAATTCATTGCAAAAAAAAAGTCTTTTGACGTCGTTAGGCAGCATTGTAAATGTATTATGGGTTTTCTTTCTTATGTTGACAACATTGCATATATTTTGTCATAATTGTTTTTTTTTTTAACCGGCCTTATAAAATTGTCATCATAACTGTTTTCTGCTGTTGTTATGTCACTGAATAAGTGAAAGCCAAGGAATTACTATTCTCTGTGTTTCACGCAGTATTGTACACCTTTGTGCGACGTGATGACTTCACCGGACTTTTCATCGATTGCTGAGTCGACGTTCCTGCCTGCCTAGCAGCTGCTGCTTTCTTCTGTTTCGCTCTCAATCCTTTAGCTTTCAGTTTGGCAATGATTATACCTTGGGTGCCTTTTTTCACATTGGGATGAATTATTCTGCCAGATTTTGTTTTATACACCTCAACCTCGTGGCCTTTTCTTTTAGAATCTGGCACCAATAACCACCGATTAAGTTTCATTTTGACAGTTGCTGCTTCAGCAAGGCTAGGCCTGGGCGTGTTTGGTAACGGGGATGGAGTTTTACGTTCTCCCTTGCGACTTGGGGGTATAATACGATTCGACTCCAAATTCTCGATTATAGTTTCGCTTGGTCGCCTTAAGAGTACAGGAGGCAGAGGTTCCCGGGGACTCCTTGGGCTGCTGTCACCTGGGTTCAGAGAGTCAGTTTTTATTTCTGTTGTATTCACTTCTAGTGCCCGTGATCGTGGACGTACGTGTAATGCTGGAGTTGAATGCCGAGACACGGGTTCTCCTTTAACTGTCCCCGTACTATAATCCTCCTTATGCTTTACCTCTGTTTCATCCACTAAAGGTAACAATGCCATAGCAGGTGAAACACGACCAATTCTACGATTCTTCTGTCTTACAATATGAGTATTCTCCACATACTCCTCCTTTCTTTCTTCAACAATAATCCCCGCATATTCTACCTTGCTGTTATTATCCCGTTCATTGGCGGGCGAGATACGCCCATCTCTGCTTTTTGAAATTTCCCTTGGAGGCTGAGTAAACTCCACTGTATTAGAGGAGTGTTCATTTTCCTGTGGTAAAACTGGCGAACTTCTTTCTCTGGTTATGCTCTCTTCTTGTACCGTTAATGAAGTTGTTTGCTCCGTATGTAATACCAGTTCTGATGAATGTCCTCTATGTTGAATTGGAGGCAATATATTTGGCCCCTGAACCTTTTGTACATGCTCATTTTCGATTCTATTAACATTTTTTTCTGGGTGATCATTCTCACTTCTGATTCTTCTTTGTTCAATTGCTGGCAGAACGCTGGTTGGGTCGGGAGTAAAAATGTCTCTTGGCGATCCTTGACTCGCAGTCGCATTGCTCCCTTCCAGCGAGATAACCGTACAATCCTTGTTTTGATCCGTTTGATCATGAACCAATTTTTGTTCAATTGGTGGCAGGACATTGCTGGTGTCTGGGGAAATTCTGTTTTGCGAAGAAGCAGATCGATGTGAGGTCATATCATTATTGTCGTGATTTCTTTCGATGGGTGGCAGTACACTTATGGGGTCTGGCGTCAGTCTCCCTATTGCTTTACTATCATCAGTATTTGAATAACCTGTGATTAGACCTGAAACCGACTCAACATTACATGACTCTGTATTGCTTTTTGAAATATTTTGAACATCCATTGATGAACCATTTCTTGATACAGAAACAGACTGGCTATATCGTTCGCTGCCTGATGATTTGTCAGTTGTGATATTCGGGAACGTATTTTGCTGAATATCTACTTTTTCCAATGATGATGTATTTTGGGTGGATGTAAACGTATTTGTTACAGTGACTGTATCGTTAACGTTATCAGACTTCTCTCCTGCACTTAACACCTGCGTGTCATCTTTTCTTGTTGAAGAGATATCAGTATTCACTTCTGAGTCAGTATGTTGTCTCTTAGAGGAATTATCCAATGAATTTAGGGATAGTGTAAGAATGCTAGCTTCAGAATCTTTCTGGTGAACACTGTCAGATACCTCTCCTCTTTTGTCAGAGTCTTCATTTTGATGAGAAGACATAACATGATTTGTTTCAGAAGTTGTCTGATTAATCGCAGCTTGATATGTAGTTAACTCTTGCACATTATCTCGCTTTGTTGTCGAATTTCCGATATTGACTTCGGCAGTATTTCGTTTCATATCTGGTGTGTCGAGTGATGTAGTACTTTTGGATGCTTCTGAATTTAGCTGATTAATCTTACTTTGACTTTGACTTTCATTTAACACTTCTGCATCAGCTTCTTTTGTTGAGTTATTTTTATCAATGTTGACAAAGGCTGTATTCTTCTTCATAGCGTCATTTGATGTGTATTCAACAATATTCGACTCGCTGGTCTCATCATTGCAAATATTGTTAAGAGTAGGTTTCTCTATATCCTTTATTTCTTCTATATCGTCCCCATTCAAGGAGCAATTACCGTTGTCATTAGCAAGCATGCCTGTTTCATCAGTAGCAGAATCAACACTATCTTCATCATCATCTGCCTCTTCTTCTTCTTCTTCTTCTTCTTCTTCTTCTTCTTCTTCTTCTTCTTCTTTCCGTGCGTGCACTGGCAGAATTTTCCGTAAATGTGTCGGGATTTTATTAGTCTTTGCCTTTCCAAGATCAACTAAAAGTGCGCATCCTTTGCTGTCCATCATATTGGCGGCTGCAAGAAGTGGCGTCTCTCCTTCATCGTTGACGGTTTCCACATTAAGCTTCTGCGAATAACGCTTATGTTCCAGCATAGCTTGCATCACTGAATGGTTTCCAACGCTAACGTTCTGCATCAATGCTGTGTTTTTGTTCTCGTCTTTCAGATTGGGATTAAGATCTCCGGTGTCCAAAAGCAGCTTGACGACATCAATATTTTCCTCCTGTGTACAAGCCAGCATCAATGGGGTTCTTCCACGCTTATCTTGGTCATTTACATTTGCACCACTATTCAGCAGTAAAGCGACTATCTCTGTTGCGTTTTCCAGGCCGCATGCCCTCATCAATGGGGTTTGTGTGAAGACATCGTAAAAATTAACTCCAACGTTTTGTTCAATTATCAGTCTGCTTACTTCGCCAAACTCGGCACTCTTCACTGCTCGCATCAGGGCTTTTTCATTTGGTGACATGTTTCCCCTTTTCGACGCCATGACCTGAAACAATGAACACACGATCAGACAGTTAAGTTAAGCGCATTGCAATACCACAATAATGTCCTGCGGGAGAGGTTTATGGGTTGGGGCTGGATTTATTCATTCGGAATATTTGACTAGGTGTTACAACGAGAATTGTTTTTGCTCCTGGCGCAGTTTATGCATAATATATTCACTGTAATCATTTGATTTTGAAATATTGGAACAAATTCTCACATTCTCTTAAAATAGTCGTGTCCTGTCGATTTTCGCTTTTTTGAATATTGTTTTTTTTTTGGTCAGTCACCGATTTGCTGCATAGCTATGATTATAGTCTAAATGTTCTAATTTATGTATCACGTGTCGCCTCGATGTGATGTGTCACTTACCTCATGGAATGTCACGGAATGTTAGCGATCGAAAGTTAGATTTTATCGCCGTATTTTATATCTCATATTTCAAATAGTCAAAGAACAATTGCTTTCGCATTCTGTTTTGATGCAGAATAAATAAACGTGACACTGTTTTGTATTTGTTAGTCGTCAAGGATACACACGTTGGCAACAATTGCCATGATCCAGCACGGGTGAAGATAAGTAGTGTTTACTACTATGTGCTTCTTATGGTAGGTTACAAATTAGCGTGACAATTGTTAAACTCATTTCGAGGCGATGGGGACCAGTAAGTTGACAAGATGATCACTGTGTTAGTTAATAGTAATAGGTATCTGTCAACGGACCCTGGTAAACTGAAAATATGTTTCCCGTGGTTCATTAAGTAATGAATAATCACCATCGCGTTGTTACGGAATTACGAAAGCAACTAGTTTTATGAGATTTTATGCCGGGTATTGTATTTCGAATATCTCGCCAGGTCTTTCGTCGGCATCTCGTGTTCTTCTAAACAGAAACTGTCAACTAAAGGTGATAGTAAATGTACTTTTTACGACCAAGTATAATTACAGCAATTACAATTTCTATTAATTTCGCATATTTTGTTTTACATTTAAAGTAGAATATATTGACCACAATCTGAATGTGATTGCACATTCACTGACACTCGTAATCATTTAGGAGTAAATTGGAAAAGTGTGAAGCCTAGTCATTTATTTCAGCTGCTGTGATATAGACGTCATCAGTGAATGTCTTAACTTCTGAGATTAAAAAATGTAAATAACAAAATTGTAATCAAATTAATATGTGAAAAGAAATATCCTCACTGAACTCGAACCACGGAATATTCCATTACCAATGTGAGCAGGGACGTGTTATACAGTTATAACAACACAACCAAACATGATTCAACAATGAGGCAGCGAACACTGCGTGACAAGAGAGAGCATCAGACTTATTAGCCAATTAACACGACCAACATTGACATTCTTCAGCCAATTGCTGAGCAGCCAGTGAACACGCAGTTTCAAATACAGCCAATCGACGCGTTCGATACATTAGACAAGAACACGATGATTGTGATCTCTGTGAAACCCAGACGTATATCTATTTTTCTTTGTTTGAACCGGTTACAATTTCTCAAGCATATGTGCGGACTGCGGGCGAATCACTGTGGCACTCGAAATTCAGTGGGCAGTTCATTGTTATCATGATATACTAGTATCATCAGTGGGTGTCAGGTGTTCAATCCGCGGTGCATTCACTTACATGAAAGCCCTGGAAAAGCATGCACATGCGCATGGCTCTACGCTGCACACTGCTAAATCGTAAAAAAAATTATAAAATGAAAGATTATTCATGAGAAGTACTTTAGTTTGTTTATTACACGTCTACTTTACTTCATATCTTCTGCAAACCTGGAAATACTGCATGATTTTTTATCACACCTCAACGAACAATTGTGAAGTAGGTTCAGGGCCGATGAAACACAATAATAATAGTAATATCAATGACGTAACGTAATGTCTAAATATGGCCCGTCAATGACAGTAGACACTATTAGAACGGCAAATGAAATAAGTGCAACATACGTCAAAATGACGGACGGCATCGCATCACGCCATTGAATCATATAATGAAGTAGACAGTAACTGATACTCCAAATCGAAAGATATTTTTATCACAGTAAAGAATCAGGCTCTTTTTTTCACTTTAAAATGCGTGTGACTATTTCAACAATCAATATGACAGAGTGAAAAACTATTTTAATAATAACATGTTACGCTCTTTCAGCGAGACAACGACTGTTATACGAAATGACATGTCTAACAATACCAAACAATAATTTATTCACTGAGTACAACAATCGGCTGTAAAATGAGATCGCCTTCGCAATTTGAATATACGCATACTTGTGAAATCGCATCTGTTAGCGAGATTTATTTATATCCAGGCCACCTCACTTTATGAATTGTCACATGAGTATTAGCGCAAGTGTAAACCATAACGATTACGTCATCTCTTTAAACAGTCGCTTCGTCATGGAGACACAGCCCGATAACCCAATGATGGGTTTAATACGGATATTCGTTATACCAATTTAAGAGCGCGCGCAAGTAGAGGTTGGGGGTGTTCTTTCCCGATCACCTGTTGCATATTTACGACTTTTTCCCACCACTGGAGATTAAATTGAACGCAAATAGTCCATTTTATTGTTGTGTATTATGGGTGTGGATTGCTTGTACAAACATATTGTAAAGTGCTTGTTAAGACGAGTTTACCACGACGCCTGCTACGCAACGCTGCTTAGTTGTTTTCTTCTCTCCGCCCGACAAATGCTTGCTAGAATTAATAGACAGTTATTCGACGTACTCGTCATGTTTCTGTCTTTGAAATATCTATGAATATGAAGTTGTATATGACGACAGGAGTGTCATAATAATATCTAAGATTTATGCTCACAAAATTTACTGTCGAAAAACAAATCGATGGCACGATCGTGAGCAAGCGAAAAAATGTTGACACATTTAAAACTACCTCTGGTACTTATACTGATATAGACAATCGTTTTTAAAAAAAGCTACAGAAGCTGAGCAAATATGGCTAAATGGCATTTACGTGTTTAGTTCACGTCGACATCTAAATCTTAATTTGATCTAAGTTAATGGGGTGAATTTATTAACAAGATAAAATATTAATTTACTGTATATTGGCACTGGCTATCGGAAAGTAACATTACTGCAAATTACAACCTCTTACGCGGATATTTCAGGAATGTACATTTCCTGTACATGTCTATAAAATAAGACATACGTGTTGATGTCGATTTATTCGCATATCCAGAAAGCGGTCCGAACCTGTAGCGTTGGTAATTTGTTTCAAGTAATAACTTCTAAATTATCAACATAATTATACAAAATTGTTCTCAATTTCTACTGTGTTTATTATTAGGCATTATTAAAAATAATAATGAATATTTTGTCTGTAGTACCTTCGAAATATTTTGAATAGATGAACAAATTTACATAAACACGGCGTACTCGATATCGAGGTGAATGCCTTGAATAAACTTGAACTAGTTCATCTAATGGTACTGATGTCGTTACAAATAAAGAGATCTTTCTTTTGATTTTGGATTCTCCTGCCGGTACTTCCAACCGTAATTGTAAAACTCATATTAATAGGACGCTCCAAAATGTGACTCAGCGCCTAAAGAACCATGATGTCTTACTAAAACACCAAATTAATTTCATACTGCAATATAATATTGGTAAGAAGACAAAATAATGTGCTTTTTGTAATTTTTGAGATGAACTCATATCATTGAAGGTGGCAAGAACTAAATAACCGCTCTACTAATACTTTATATACTTATGTTATTGTAAAGTAATGTAGAGAACATGTATATGCAAAGTTGGTCGAATATTCGACGAAAGTATAAACTCATCGGAAAGAAACAGACGAATTCACGATACAATATTCAATAAATATATAATTTGAAGAATGAAGTTTGTATTCACACATATTGGTCGCTGCTAGGTTATAGCGTTGTGACTAGAATATATGTCATTGTTTTCAACATTGCAGTTTTCAATTATGTTTAAACGTATCTCTCTCTGATGAAATGCTGAAAATAAACATTCGCTATGACGGCAGAATTGCTTCATTAGATGGTTGCGTGTGGACTACTCTTATTAAATCATATAACAAGCGTTTATGGCGGGTTACCAAATTGATTAAAAACGTGCATTGGGAAATATAAATTCTCCTTCTTCTAAATTAATCTCTGTCCACCACGCCTGGTGTATTTTACACCCTCGTATTATGTAAAATCAAAGTAACATCGACATCATTCTTACCGTCAGATTGTTCCACGACGCTTTTTCCTGTACAGAAATTTTAGGATCACATTGTTAAGCTAGGACTGATAGTGAGCAGTGTTAATGCGATACTGGGAGCCGACGCAATGTTCCGCTCTATTAGTCACTCACATCGCGTCACCATGGTAGGTTGTTCTTTTGAAGTAAGCTAAACAGACACGTACGTCTGTGGTATTGAGTGTTAAGACAGCCATGCATCGAGTGAAAATCTATAGTTTCCTGGTAACGGCCTAGACCCCCTAGGCTTGTTTGAAAACAAAACAAAAACAACGTCAGTTCGTGATCCTCGATCAATCATATTTTCCAATATAATATACACGATAAAACAAATAAGATTATATTGGATGTGCTCGACTTTATGACAGCGATATTACGGCAGACAGAAGGGGTCGGTGCAATTAGCGTTACGAGCCGTGAAACGTGTTGCTCGGTAATATTGGTGTAATCGTATCGCTATCATGGATGTCGACACGCTAGATCAAACTCACACAGAAACTTTAGAGCCGATCGATACGTTTAAAGACATTGATTTATGTGGGGGAGCAAGTACTTGTGAAGACAATTTGCGATACCGTCGAAATTAGTATACTTATTGGGAACAGCTCAGTAGATTACATTGTGTTATCCAATAATTCAGATTGTACGGCAATTTCTTTTCAAAGTGCTAAAATTCCATCGATATTGAGCGGAAAGTAAACACGCACAGCTTATTAACACTTGTTGCTGCCTTGTGTACTGAGTAAAA